TTGGGTCTCGCTGATGTACCTCCGTTGGGTCTCTCTGACGTACCTCCGTTGGGTCTCTCTGACGTACCTCCGTTGGGTCTCGCTGACGTACCTCCGTTGGGTCTCTCTGACGTACCTCCGTTGGGTCTCTCTGACGTACCTCCGTTGGGTCTCTCTGACGTACCTCTGATGGGTCTATCTGTGGTACTGCTGTTGAGTCTCGCTGACTTCCCTCTGAGGCTTCTCTCGCTCTCATACCTCTGTATTAGTTTTTCTACATCGTTTTTTTTATCGGGGTGGAGATCAGTGATCATAAAAAGGCTCGTATCTCACATTTAATAACACTTGGTTCCATATTATTACTTAATACCTCATGCTGGTCAAGCTCTTTGTGTACCAGATCAATCCAAGAAACAAGAGCAACCTGGAACAGCGTGAGAGTTATTTAAAGATCTGTTCTTTAAATTCTGGATGGAGGATCAGGATGTTCTGCAATAAATTAGCCAAACTGCAAAGGAACAAACTGGCCTGGATGCCCTGGTTGCTGCGTAATCTGGGTCATAACACTAATTTCTCAGGCAGCAGTGCTGCTGCATAAAATCTGTCAGATTTCTGTAATTCCCCATAATGCTGTTCTTCTGTTTCGGGACCTGTCCTCATTGTTCTTTTGTTAATTATTAAAACTATTTTTCTTGCCTTTCATAAAGGACCAAAACCCTTTAGCCAATCATGGCTGTGCTGGTGAGCGTTTCCATGGAGACAGCCTGCTGTCAGAAACTGACGGGGTTGAGGTTTTATTGATGTACCCCACAGCAGGTTGATCCTGAAAGCTGAAATCATCACGGCAGAGTCTGGGTTTGTTTTTTATGACACAAGGAACTTCTTCCTACATGGAAACGCTACAGATGGAAGCAGTGGAATGTAGATCTTATTCCACTCATCCTGCTCTATGTCAGGTTTTATTGCACTGCTGGTTAACTGGTGGCATGGAGAAGACCAGTCTGAGCTCTTTAAGACGTTCTCCTCACTCCGCCAGCCTCCCCTTTGTCATGATTTCAGCTGAATGATTACTTTTTGTCTTCTATGGGTGGTGCTTGTGAAATCATGGGTGGGTTTTTCCTTTCTCAGGTTCTTTGTCTTGTTTTCAGTCATTTATGAAGAAGGACAATCGAAAACAGGCTTAAAAAGACAATTTATCTCCTTTATCAGCCGGTTCTAAGGGTTTCTAAGCTGTTTTCATACCTCTGTGCACTATTAAAACCCATCTTTTTAACAGCCAGAGTGATGGTGTGTTTTATTGAGTGTTTTCACAGCAGCATCTTAATGCTAGAGACGCAAGAAACCCCATTCCTACAATGTTAACCCTGCAGAATCCTTATGATTAAAAGGAAAACGA